GAGGGAGGGAGGGAGGGAGGGAGGGAGGGAGGGAGGGGTAACAGACATTTACTAAAAAGGAAAACTATTAGTGTACACATTTACTTAAAATACCTTTTAATGTTTTGGAAAGATTGGGCCTTGTTCGTTCTTCAATAGACGTTACTGACTGGAGAACAACATTATTTTAATGTATAGCACAATAAGAAAAAAATACTGTAATTTTCTTCAAAAAAAAAAAAACTAAAAATTAATACTACATACCTGTAAGTAAAGTGTCCTGTTTTTCCCCTCTAATGTGGCTGTGATAGCTGGAGACTTCATTTGCCTAAAAATAAAGTAGCAAACACCATCATATTTAAATAAATAGTTCTTGCTTTTTATTGTAAAGTTTAAAAAAAATGACTTTTACAATATAAACACTCAACACTTACAGAGAAGCACTATTGGTTAGATAGTCTAAGACCTCTTGTAGTTTAGCTGATGGGGAAAATTGAATGTTTTGAGGAAGTTGGCTACACGCAGGACAGTTTTCCTACAACATAAAAGAATAATTTAGAGGTACACAAACAAGTCTCAGTCTCTTTTTAAGCAAAGATATGGAAATCAAGTTGTTTTATAGTTCATGCATATTTCCTATGAAAATAATTTTTGCTTTAATGTCTGTTTTTCTAATAGATTATTTGCTCTAAATTATTATGCTTTACAGTATTTATTTAAGCTATCCAACAAAAGATACTTATTAGCTTTAATAACTCATAGCATAAATAATTATCTTCTAATTCCAAATAATTAATATATAAAAGCAAAGACTATATAGTGAAAAATATTTTTATTACTTTAATGCTACTAACCTTTCTCTCTGCTTCAAATGTGTAAGTGTATAGTCCATCTACATCATTGAATACCAAGTAGTTATTAAGGGGAATGTATGCACTGTAATGAAAAACAAAGTTCATTTTATCTAATTGAGCAAGGTTATAACATGGAGTTATACACAACTAAAAACAAAACTCATTACCTTGTAGCTATCTTGAAAACCTCAGTAGCACACACAGCTAGAGAGAAACAAAGGCATTTGAATTCAGTAAAAGTTACATACTTTGAAAGTCAGTGATAAATCAGATAAAATTGTAGTTTCTATAGAAAAATGGATTTTAAAATACATAATTTTTAAAGCATATGAAGGAACAAGTTCTATATTTGGTTTATATGATCCAAACAATACAACTTTTCCTTCATTTTCATTAGATCAATGAAAAGCTAACTCTATGAACAAAAAGACATGCTAAAATATTCCTTTACTGTGAGCATTTTGTCTAAGAGAAACATAATATCCTGGAAGACATAATGAAACAAGAAATACAGAGGAACAGGAACATATTTGGTTTGGGTAACTCACCCAAGAAGATATTGAATTCTTAGAATGCAAGCAACTACAGAAACGTCAATTTACATATTAAGTCAAAATCAAAGCAAAAAGTAAAACTGAAGGTCTTTTTTTCCCTTACCTGCAATGACTGCATTTGTAGAAGCTACTGCAGGAATGATTCGTTTTACTACCCCTGAAAAAAATTTGCCAAATAAAATATGGTCAGTTCTTATACTTATTTTTCCAAGATTTTTAATTAGGTGTAGGGGAACACCTGTGTGTGTGTGTGTGTGTGTACACGGGTGTATATGTGTGTATGTGTGTGTGTGTGTGCATACCTGCATATGCAGGTGTAGGTACATGTGAGTGTAGGTGCCCTCAGAGTCCAGAAGTCTGCCTAACTCCCTGGAGCTGGAGTTAGAGGTAGTTGTAAAGAATAAGCACTCTTCACAGCTAAGATCTCTCTCCAGCTCTATTTAAAGAAAAAACAAAAAAAAAGGCACCTTAAGTTAAGATCATGTAGTTAAATCATTAAAAGTCTTGATTTCAAAATACCATTTTCTGAAACTTGAGTTTTCAGGCTTTCAAATCAAGAAATAAAACTGGGCATAGCCAGGCATGGCGGTGGGAAGCTGACAAAGACACTATCTTCAAAAACAAACAAAACAAAACAAACAAACAAACAAACAAAAAAGCAAAACAGATGAAAAAAAAAAGCAGAGAAGTTTAAACATGAACTATTGTCTTTCATTCTCAACAGTTTGTAGTATGTTGAAATAACAGTATTGAAATGAAGTCTTTGTAGTTTTGCATCATGACAAAGCAGAAACATAATAACAACAGTGTTTCCTCATTCTCCAATATAGAGTGAATACTAATTATTATTTTAAAGTTCCTGAAATGGTGATGCTAGTCACACTATCCTTGTTCTAAAAAGAAGGGAAGCAAGGCTGAGAAATTAAATATCATATCCACAACATTACCCCTAGCAAGTATACAAATAGGCTGTGCACACACATGCCCATCCCACATAGTCTTATATATAATACTAGACTCTGAAATGCCTGAATAAGTATAAAGTTTCCTAATGATTCTTGATATAGTTAATTCAAGTCATTCCATTCCCAAAATGTCACAATGGAAAAACTAAAGCAATCTTTTAAAAGTATCTTTCTTTTATGCTATGGTCATGACCACATAAAACAAAGCACAGCTCTCTCTCTAGTTTGATGGATTTTAACTTTTCACTTCCATATTCATGTAAGCAACAGACAAACCATCTCCCATAGTACAAAAGGAAGACTCAAGTCTTCAAACTGCACTTGAATTGCTGCTCACTCTAGAGAAACCAAATGAACCTGGAGGGTGAGGCAACACTACAAGATATGTTCCCAGCCGAAGGAGCACAAAGCAGCCTCGGGTAGACCAAGGTGAGGAAAAAGGAAGCAGGCATGAACTAAATTTAAGGGATAATACCAGACCGAGTAAAGAAAATAGTCACGGAAAAGAAATAACAAATTTGCAAATTTTCTAGAGACTATGGCAAAACTCTGAAAGGGATGAACTGTAACAGGACTGGAACACTGGTCACCAAAGCTGAGCAGGACTGCTCACTATGAGCCTGTGCTAGAGGAGGCATGTTCAGTGACTGTGACTGTGATTGTGACTGACCCAGCAACCAGGAAATGGAAAACAGAACCACCAGGCTTTGGGAGATCATATGGAAGGGTCTTTCAAGGTATCTTTTTAAAGACAGTAAGAAGTCTGATAGACTCAAAAAGAACTGATAACAAACTGAGACAAATCTAAAATGGCTGCTAAGGCCCTGGGTTTGATCTCCAAGACCAATACAAAATTTAATAAACAACCTCCAGAATGCCGGGCGGTGGTGGCGCACGCCTTTAATCCCAGCACTTGGGAGGCAGAGGCAGGTGGATTTCTGAGTTCGAGGCCAGCTTGGTCTCGAGTCAGAGTGAGTTCCAGGACAGCCAGGGCTACACAGAGAAACCCTGTCTCGAAAAACCAAAAAAAAAAAAAAAAAAAAAAAAAACAACCTCCAGAATATTACTTCTGTTAGAAAGGGGAGAAGGGGAAGGAGAAAGGGGGAAAGGAAGGCCCAGCCACTGGACAGGTGAAAAGGTATGCAAATTTTAGTAAGCAGCAACATCAACGAATGGGAACAGGGTATTAAATGCAATAAGTAAGTGATGAGACATCAGCTCTCCTTTAAGACTGTTCTCAGTATCAGAGGTATGGATAACCCTAAAATGCTGTACTATGGCCTAGGAGATCTCAGAAGGATGGATAACTGGACTCTGGTCAGAGAAGCACACCAAGACTTGAAGCCTTGTGATTACCAAAGGATTGAAAAATCAGGAAGATTTGGAGTGGTAAAATATTAAAATGTGGAGAGAATGTGACCACTATGCTAAATAGTTAGAAATACTATTTAAAGGGGAATTGGGAGCTGGAGAGATGGCTCATAGTTAAGAGCACTCACTACTCTGTCTGAAGACTCTGGCATTCAGTTCCCAACACCCACATGCAGCTCACATCTTTAACTCCAGTTCCAGGGGATGCAATGCCTTCTTCTACACTCTGCAGGCACTAGGCATGCAGGAAATGCACATACACACATGCAGACAAAACACATAAAATTTTAAAAAGAAAAGAAAAAGCAATTAGGTTATGTAAGATACTGGCCAAAATGCAAACTAAACAAGACATAGTAATTATCTGAGTCTTTTGACAGCTCCTAAGAGAGGATAAATTCCTCTTCAGTAAAAGATGAACAGTTAAACTTTGAAGATAAGGGCTCTTTCAATTATACAGTTGTATTTAAACATGAATCAGTGGCTCTCCACTAGCTGAGGAATATGTATTCTACTGAACATAGTTCACTACAACCTTGGAGTAACTGGAAACAAATTGCTTCCATAGTTCTTTAATTAAGCTTCAGATGAATGGTGATCTCTTAATTACATATCAAGCATTCTTGCCATAGAGCAGTGGTTCTCAACTTTCCTAATCCTGCAACTCTTTAATACAGTTCTTCATGTTGTAGTGACCCCCAATCATAAAATTATTTCGTTGCTACTTCACTAACTGTAATTTTGCTATTGTTATAAATCATAATGTAAATATCTGATACATACATAGTCCTAAAAACAAGGTTGAGAATCACTGTCATAGAGTATTTCCCTACCAATCCCACAATTATGACGGTTCACTAACTCACCTTGAGTGAGTCTGTAGGTAACACCTCTAATATTATATTGTGATGCTCTCTCTATGGACTTTTGGAAAATCCACTGAATATGTTCAGGGTCATCTCCGTCTAATGGAACCCCATCTGTTGTGGAGGAGACAAACATATATAACCACAAGGTAATTTTTAAATGAAATTTCAAAATGATTACTATATAAAATACTCTGTAAGTCTAGATTGTTAAATTACCTCCAAAAGGCTGCTCTTTAGGCCACTGCAACATCCTTACATACTCGATACAGTGTTCTGGGAGCCTGGGCATAGATGCAATGGTACACATAGGAAAATTGACCTAAAACCACAAAATTTGTCTTTCTTAGTAAAATTTAAATGATGAGCTATTTTAAAATGCAACTTCTAGTTCTTGTTTAGTTCATAGCACTCATCTCAGCTACTGACTTGTATAAGCAAAACACTATAAAGCATTAAGACTTGTATACTAATAGGAGGCATCAGAGTCTCTCAGGGAGGGCTGTGCTGCCTATAAAGAAAGACACATTTGTCCTACCGGTTTAGAGCATATACACTCAAGTTCTATTGGCAATGAAAAGAAAAGTACTAAATAAATTCTGAAATGTGATTTAGTTTTATATGTATTTAATGTAAAGGTATAATGCAAATCAACACAAAAGCACAGAATTAAATCAATTGTTAAGTTAATATCATAGAGCTGCTAACATAAATCAAAATTACAACTATTCTTTAAAATAAGCATATAGGCTAAAGAGCTCCATCTTTGAAAAGATCATTCTTAATCCTATTTTTAAATTCTTTATTACACTTATTTTGGATGTATGTGACTGTGAGCACATGCTAGAGTGTACATATAACAAGTCACAAAAAATCCTTTTAGCCCCACCATTGGGGGTTCCTAGGATTACACTCAGGGTCTTTATCTGCTAAGCCATCCTACCAGCCTTTTTCCTAGTAGTGGTGTTCTCTGCAATAATTACAGTAGGTCATGAAAGATATATCCTAAGATTTCAACAACTATCTGGACCCTATGTATATACACTTTACCTTAAGTTTAACATTAAGGGAAAGTATATGAAGAAAACAGACAGAATATAACTTATCCCAACATATAACTTCATAATTTCTCTTAAATTAAAAAACAAAGGAGCTGGAAAGATGGCTCACTGGTTTAAGAGCACACACTTCTCTTTTAGAAGAACTTGGCTCTCAGCACCCATGTCAGGCAGCTCATACTCGGGTGTGACTCTAGTTACAGAGGAATCTGTCACCTATGGTGTCAGGACCACTGCAGTTATATACCTACACACTTATACATATACACATAATTAAAAGAAAATCACACTTAGCAAAACACTAATAAAAAGAAAAAAAGTACTAATACAAAACTATAAAAGCAAATCTGATATATAGTATCTTCTCTCAAACATAGAAGACTATCATATTTTATTCTTCTAAGCAGATTTTGTTTTAAATTTTGCTTTTGTTTCCAGGCTGAAGTACACAAGTCTGACCCTATGCCCTCATTTTGGTAAATACTAACTTACACCCTTAGCATATATTTAAATATGTTTATCCCCAATTACAAACCCTAGACACTGACTAGATGTAATAACCAACACTAATTATCACCCAAGATACTAAGAAAACAATGTAGGAACTTTTCTGATTACCTGTGGTGGGTAAAGTTCCAGAGTGCACTCAATACAAGCAGTCATTCCAGGCAAAATCACTCGGGCATTTCCTTTAAAGCCTTCTGTTCCCCCATCTATCAAAGGTACAATGGAGCTTGGATCCAACACACCATCTTCATAATTTAGAAGAGATATCTAGGGAAATGTTTTAAAGGACTTAAAAAAAGAATAGGACATGGGAAAAAAAAGAAAGCAGCAGCAGTAGCAGCAGCATATTTCTAGCAAATTCTAGAAGTCAGTTGGCAACTCAGTAGCAATATCAGAATGAATTACATTCCTAACAAGAAACACTTTTCATTGAAAATCAATGAAAGCAGGAACAATGTGTATATGTACTTAATTTAAAATTAAACAACTCTGATTTGAAGTATGTCAAAAGCAACAGCAAAGACCTTCAGAGAACCCCAACACTGAAGTCTTTACCAGCATTCCATTGATCCATCTTCTGGCTATGATAGAGTCCAGGCCACATACAATAATATGAAATTCTACAAGAAGAAAACATGTTTAGTTTTTGATATAGTCTATGTAGTCTAGGCAAGTCTCAAATTGTCTATCCTCTTACTTCAGTCGCCCCAGTGCTGGCCCCACGACACCCACTAGGTCACTAGTGATTACAAACACACTACTATACCCATGCTCTACCAGGGGGGCTCGTGGACTGTATCACTATCAATCTATCACTGCCTATGGACCACTGCTAGTAAGGAAGGTTTGCAGTGGAAATTTAGTAGTCATTATATCTGATATAAACATCAGAATGAAGCAACTGTTTTTAGATGTTCTTGGGCTTCAAAGAAATCACTATGATAGGTAGTAATTGTTTTCTGTGAGTTGTTTTTCTAAAGGAACGTCACAGCCTCTACATGAACTTAGTTACAAGACATTCTTAGTAAACCAGAAGTCTTGCACTACTGAGAACTGCAAACATTGCACGAGATTGCAGAGGTGATGATATATGCCTTCAAGAAACACACACATCAGACCAGGGGCTCTGGTATGAGGAACTTGCCTCACTCTAAAAAGATAACAGACAATAAATATGCTTCTGAAAGGCTGCTTGGGGTTCAGTCCATTAAGGCTGATCCCCCTGCTTTCTCAAGCTTCGTTGCATCTGAATGCCTCTCGTCATCTCACAGAACTCAGATTACTAACAAGGGCTGCTTGTGTAATGGGACAGAAAGTGCTACTTTTCCATCCACCTTTGCTGTGACTCTAAAACTGCTTTGAACAGTTTACCAATATAAATAAAGGCAGTTATGCAAAGTAATTTACTTTGTTTAAAAATTAAAAGCTAATTTTATTAGAAGCTCCTGACCCTCCTAATCCTTTAGAAATTTTTAACTCAAGCAAGCAGCTAGTGGTATCTACTGAGCATCAGTGCTGTGGTGTTTCAAGTACCTGGAACAGGGGGAAACAAAACAACAAACTGAATTAGAATTAGCAAGAGCTTAATAACAAGTGAAGAACTTACGTCTGTAGAAAGTGTCGTTAAAATCTTGAATCTTGTTGAAATGTCTGAATCCAAGTAAAGGAACCTAATATGCTAAGTTCTAAACGTCTGAAGTGATTTTAATAATGCCATAAGGAATAAACTGTGTTTACTTATCCACACTGATAAGTAGTCAATGAGGAATTCAGGAAGTCTGACTGAACGGGGTTGTTGCTATTTTCTGACCAAAAAAAAAAAGTAGGTTATTTTCCATATTTTATATATGTGGGAGGTGGGTAGGTGCACAAGTGGAGACAAGTCTGTCTCTCTCTCACACCTACACACTAAATAAATGTATATAAAAAATTAAAGAGTCATGGTATTTTTTGTGAACTTTGTGTTTCATTTTGCTTTATTTTGACATTTTTTCATTTTTGTTTTATTTGTTCTATCTGTTTCTTAGGTTTGGTTTCTTTTTTTTTTTTTGAAGAAAAAAAAGGAATATAAAATTGGGTGGGTAGGGAAGTGGCAAGGTTCTGGGAGTTGAGAGGAAAAAAAAACATGGTCAAAATATATGGTATGAAAAGAATTCTTTACAGCAAGAAACAGACTACCAAAACATGTCAAGTTTATATATACATATAAATGTATATATGTATATGCAAACCTTATATAAAATCAATCCAGAGGATTTCAACAGCTTTTTCGGTTGCTAGTACAATTGGGTGTATTGGGTTTACATATCACTCTGGGCTCCGATGTAAATTATGCACTTTTTCTACCTCTTTGTAAGATTTTTGTCATCTGTCTCTTTAGTGAACTATCCCTTTGCAATGTTCATCCACTTTTTAAATGGATTGGGTTTTTTTCTGCTAAGTTTTAAAAATTCTTTAATAAACACTCAAGCTTCCATATCTGAAGGTGTTCCATGCATAGATTCAACCAACCCTGGGTCAAAAATATATGACAGAAGAAAAACTGTCAGTAGTGAATATAAATCAACTTTGTCTTTTCACTATTGCCCAAATAACACAGTACTATAACTATTTTTATAGTATTTAACCACAGTAGATATTATAAATAATTAAAAGATATTTCAAGACATCAGATATAAATATCCAGATGTGTTGTGATGATTTATATATGCTTGACCCAGGGAGTGGCACTATTAGGTGTGGCCTTGTTGGAGTAGGTGTGTCACTGTGGGTGTGGGCTTTAAGACCCTCATCCTAGCTGCCTGGAAGTCAGTATTCTGCTAGCAGCCTTCAGATGAAGATGTAGAACTCTCAGCTCCTCCTGTACGATGCCTGCCTGGATGCTGCCATGTTCCCACCTTGATGATAATGGACTGAACCTCTGAACCTATAAGCCAGACCAATTAAATATTGTCCTTGTAAATGCTGCCTTGGTCATGGTATATGTTCACAGCAGTAAAACTCTACCTAACATATGTGGATAGTACAAATATGAAAATAGTATACATTTTAAGTATTTATTTTACAGTACTAGGGGTTGAAACTAGGGCTTCATGCATGCCAGACAAGTGAACTATCAGTGAGCTCCATCTCCAGCATGCTACCTTTTTGCATGTAGACTTGAGGATCAGTAGATCTGGATTTCTTGAAAAGGTCTGGGAAGCAATCCGCCACAGATACCCAGGAATACCTGAACTCTAGACGGGTTCTCTGTCAGCTATTCTGTCAGTGTTCTCTCCAGTGTCCAGCCTGTCCTCAGACCACAGCTGTTAATTTCAATGTGGTTTATGTGCTCTCCATCAAGCCTCAGAACCCAAAGACGATCTGTACTATTCCCTGATTTTACAGCTTTACGAATTACATCTGTGATCCACTGTGAGTACATTCTTGTCCAAGATATAAGGCGTAGGTGAAGATGCATCCAGTGTAGATGTTTAGTTAATACTAAAACTAGAATATAAGCAGACAATGACATCACCTATACAAATAATTTAAAAGTCAGGGCAAAAACATGAGCATAACCATAAAGGGAAGACTGGGCAAATGATGAGCATCTCCTCAGTAGCAAGGGGCACACTGTGGACAGACCTTCTCATCAGCGGTATTCTCTATTATGACATCTTTTATAATAAGGGAGGAGTTTTAGAAAAACATTCTTTCTTTTGAAAGGATACGGGACCACATTGCAGTTAGGAATTCTGTCATTTAGGAATTCTGCAGCAACTTCAGCCTTGGGTCTTCCAACATCTTTAGGCCTACAGAAAACATTGTATTAAGTTGTCATCCATAATAAGAATTTAGATGGTCTACATAATTAGCTTCCAAATGAAAAAATAAACAGTTTACTTATAATATACTTTGAAAAATATTAACTATAATTTTTTTATTATTCTTAAAATTTGTTTGTGTGTGTGTGTGCGCACGCGCACATGTGAGTGAAGATGCCTATGAAGGCTAGAGTCATCAGACTCCTTTCAGTTAGAATTATGGGCAAGAGCCTGGCGGTGGTGGCACACACCTTTAATCCCAGCACTTGGAAGGCAGAGGCAGGCGGATTTCTGAGTTTGAGGCCAGCCTGGTCTACAGAGTGAGTTCCAGGACAGCCAGGGCTACACAGAGAAACTCTGTCTCGAAAAAACCAAACCAAACCAAAACAAAACAAAAAACCAAAAGCAAAAAAAAACAAAAACAAAAAAGAATTATGGGCAAGTGTAAGCCACCTGGTATTGAACCTGAATCTGCTGCAAGAATCTGTGCTCTTAACTATAGAGCCAACTCTCCATCAGCCCCTCAGTATTTTTATATCAGTAATAAATTAAATAGTTACTAAGCCCTTGCTGACAGTTTAAATCAATATGACAATTCTAATTGTATTTCTTAACTGAAAATATGAACTATAAACAGTAGGGTCTCCATCCCCTAGGGTTAAGTATAACAACAGCGTGTTTAGTGGCTACTTCCAACCATGACACTTCCTACTATAAAAATATCCTAGACATAGAGCCTTCCAAGTACACAGCTTGAATCCCAGAACATCAATCTGCTGTTTGGTTGTTTGAGACAGGATCTTACTCTACAATTCAGCCTGGTCTTGAGCTTATTATATAGCCTAGCATGGGCTCTAGAATTTTAAGCAATCCTCCTGCTTCAGCATCTCGAATGCTGGTGTTGTAGTTGGGAACCATCATGACTGCTTCACTGTGTTTATATGCTGGTCTTAGTAAACTGTGGTGGGATTTGTTAGGCTTTGCTTTGAGACAGGTATTACTACATAGCCCAAGCTCATCTAGATCCTCCTGTCTCAGCTTCCTTCATACTGAGATTACAAGTCTCAAAAAACCAAAAAACAAAAACAAAAAAGAATTAAATTATGGGCAAGTGTAAGCCACCTGGTATTGAACCTGAATCTGCTGCAAGAATCTGTGCTCCATTAGCCCCCAGCTTCCTTAACCATGTTTTAAAAGAGAGAAGACAGCAGTATTTTCAAGAAACTAAAAGTAAAGTCTGGAAACATCCCTCTTTGATAATAACCAGTCGTTAAGTACAGAAGTGTTTCTTCAAGCATGTGACTATTTTCTACTAATCTCCTCACAGTTCTCATGGAAATGAGTCACCCTTCCATGTAAGAGTAAGTGCTTCACTCTAACTTCCTGGAACACACATACTCTAGACATCGAACCCTTATTCTTTGTATCCTTCATACAAAGACAGTATAAGGTTTTTTTAAGTAAAAAAATAACAAAAATTTTATTTAAAATTAGAACTTCATTGGAAACATTTAATCAGATCAATTTTTCTCTTCACTAATAAAGAATGTATTCTTTCCCTATTTAAAGTTGCTAAGAATCTTACTCTTTGTCCTTACTTGCATGGAGAAGTACTATGAAATAGAAACCTTGATTTGAATCTCACTTTCACGCACTTTGCACAGACAGCTCTTCACATACAGAAGAGGAAACAGTCAAGTGCCAAGATTCCTCTAAATGTAGTTTTGTGCTTTTCAGTCTCACATAAAAGAACTCCAGCACAGTTTTAGTGAAGACTGTTACATTAATTTACAGGATCAGAGACCCAACTGTTGCAACTAAGATAATATCATAAATAAAATGGCAAGTCACCCACCCTTCTGGCAATATGCCCATGTTAGCTCTGTGAGTATCATTATTATTTTAACCGTGATAGCTATAAATTAAAAGGTGTGGCTTGTTATCAATAATCAATCTATTTCAAAGCTATTTCAAAGTCAGTCTATTTCAAAGCTGTAATACATTAAAAACTTGTCAGAAAAGAAAGGCATACAAAATGTATATATGTGCTTATAAAACAACCATTACCCAAATACCCAAATATGTATTCCAATTTCTAAACTATAAAAGTAGCACTTCTTGGGACTGGAGAGATGGCTCCATGGTTAAAAGAAATGACTGCTCTTCCAGAGGACCTAGGTTCAATTCTGAGAACCCACATGGCAACTCATATCTGTCTGTAACTCCAGTTACAGGGATTCTAACACCCTGACAGACATAAATGCAGACAAAATACCAATGAACATTAAAAAAAAAAGCAGTTCTTCTTGTTTTTGTAAAATCCATGTTAGATCCTCAGTAATTATTAAATTTCAAAGAACACAAATTCAAATGTTTATCAGAATTTTTAAAATATCAAACTTACCTAAATAAAAACTGTCTATTTAAATTGGAAACATCTATAGTGTCCATGTCTACAACATGAATCTGTCTAAAACCAGACAACGCCTGTGGAAAGAAAAGCAATCTAATTAGCCAACAGTTTCCTTTCTTTTAAAATATAATACAGATTTTGAAAATCTATGTCCTAAAGCCATATATTTTCAGTAATAAATTCTACATAATTATACTCTTTGGCTTAAAAAAAAAAAGTCTGTGCAAGGCATAAAAAAAAATTAAAGAATTTTGGGGTTTTTTTGTTTGTTTGTTTTTGTTTTCCAGACAGGGTTTCTCTGTGTAGCCCTGGCTGTCCTGGAACTCACTTTGTAGACCAGGCTGGCCTCAAACTCAGAAATCCGCCTGCCTCTGCCTCCCAAGTGCTGGGATTAAAGGCTGCACCACCACTGCCTGGCTAAGAATTTTGTTAAAGAACAAGAATGCACAAGCGCTCAGGTTTAAGTACTCTATAACCAAGAGAAAACTCACAGTCTCTACTGTTTTGTATCTGCTGATCCCTGTCTAGAACCTTTCCTTCTCAATACTCTTCTAGGACACTGCTCACCCCTTATGAAAACAGCACCTTTGAAAACCCTGTCCTCATCACCAGACTGCCTACCCTCAGGCCTTCCTTTTTTCACCCATTTATTACTATCTGACATTCCATATACCCTCCTTCTCTTCCCCGCCCCTTTCTTCCCCCAAAGAAAATCTGAGTTCCAGAAACAAACACCTGTTTATATTGTTCCATTCTGAGTCTTTATCACCAAAAATTGTGCATGGTATTTACAAAGAGAAATTCAATAAACATTTGGTTAACTGGTGATATTAATGTGATTATTTCTTCTTTTTTTTAAGAGTGAACCTTTAGGGGGCTTATAGTCAGTGAAAAAATGCATGTCTTCTATGCTTAAATCTAAAACAAGCAAAATAGTAAATGATACTGTGTTTGTGTCTAAAGGATCAGAATGTAGTGTGATGGTTCTCAGCCTGTGGGCCATGACACTTTCACACGGGTCCCCCAAGACCATCTTGCATATCAGATGTTTACATTACCATTCTTAGCCATAGCAATTTTACAGTTATAAAGTAGTAATGAAAACAATTTTATTCTTGGGGTCATCACAACATGAGGAGCTGTACTGAAGGGCTACAGCATTAGGAAGGCTGAGAACCACTGGTGTAATAAATAATCTTCAGATCTAATCTGAGTATACTGATATTGCAGTGTACACTGCAATAGTAAATCATAGCTTCAAAATGAAAAAAGTTATGCTTTAAGGAACCTGTACATGCCTAATGAAAAAAGCAAACAACAGAAAAAAATGCCCTAACTCCACAAACCCTTCCATTTGGCAAGTTTTACATTTTCATACTAGAGTAAGTCTGAGAGGGAGCAATCATTTTGGAACACCATACTGTTCCATACATATTACTATTGATTTCATTAAGACTTGTCTCACCAAACTTAAAATTCACTGACAGAGACACAGTGACTTACAATCCCCATAGAACTAACATGGCACTAAACAAAGTGAGTGTACTTCATTTAAAACTTCAGTAGGAGCAACACTAGTGTTTCCTAGCAAGTCAGCATGACTGTGTAGATATCCAAATTTTAATTGCCAGATTGAAGAGATGGCTCAGCAGTTAAGAACATTCACTGCTACTACAGAGGACCTGGGTTTAGTTCTCAGAACCCATATGGCTGCTCACTAAGTCTCTGTAAGGCCAGTTTCAGTCTGACAGCCTCCTGTAACCTCCCTGGATAGCAGGCACCCATGTGGTGTACATATAGGCAGGCAAAACACTCATAGACATAAAATCAAAATAAACCTTGATGAAATTGAACTCTTGGCAGGTTACAGGTGTCTTCCATATGGCTATGATCTGCTTACTATTTTCTATTTTCCTACCCAGTGAGAAGCCAGGTATACAGCAGCTCTACATTAATTCTCTCCTTCCTAAATCTGTTAAATTGACAGAAACTTATGCAAAGCGATTTCATGGTTATAAGGACTCAAAGCAATTCCATTACAACTATGTATTTCTAAATAGTACAAAGAAATAGTTTTACTAAAGGCTCAGGTGTCCCAAATCATAGGCATTTATTATCATATGGGCATCAAAACCAACCATCTTAGTTCATGCAGGGCTTCTGTAAAACAGAGCTCTTTATACAAAGAACTGATGACTTGGGTTAGAGTCCAGGAATCTCACTATATACTTCAGGAAAAACGAGGGAGTCTGCTAATTTTGCTGCACCTCAATGTGTCATTTTGAATTAAGTGATTAAAAAAAAAAACCCACCTAATTGGGTTATTTGGAGAAGCAAAAGAAAGAATTATTTAAAATTACACATTAAAAGATAAACTATTCTGCTATTTAGTTCAATAAAATGATATTACCACGAGGTAAAGGAAGCAAAAAAAAAAAAAAAAAACAAAAAAAAAAAAAAAAGACTTAATTCTAAGACTTTTAGAGTTCCAAAATAATATTATATATTTTTATTATTGTTTAGAATTTTACCTGCTAAATTTATCCAATAAATGTTCAAGAGAAAAAAAAATAATACTCATGAAATGAAGGCATTCTTTATATGACAGAAAGCAAAAGAACTTACTTATCTCTAAGAGAATAGAATTATATATTACCAGATTTTTCAGAAGCTCACATCCTAAGCCACCAGCTCCAATGACTAGAACTTTACATGTATCTAACAAGAACTGGAGTGACTGTAATGAATAGAAAGACATATTAAAATCCAGGTGATCACCACAAGAACTATGAATAAGACAACAAACCACACAATAGTTATTGGTGTAAGGCACAAAAAAAAAAAAGTCAATTAACAATAAGAAACACACCTGGTGTGTTATGAAAGAGATATAATTACAAATTTTAAAATCCTAATAATTTCAGAGTTTCAATTTTAACACTTTAAATTTACTTTTATTATATGAACTTAAAAGCCTATTTCTAACAGAAAAACTACCCCAGAGCTGGATGACTCAGCAGATAAGGTACTTGTTGCTCTTGCACAGGACCCAGGTTTGATTCTCAGCACACATGGTGGCTCACAAACATCCATAACCATGTTCTAGAGAAAAGGACAGCCTCTTCTGACCTTCGTGGGCATTTGGCACATGTGGTATACATACAGACATGAAGGCAAAACACTCGTAAAATAAAAATAAATCTAAAAATAAGTCTTAAAAACTATCCCTAGTTATATCTTTTTTGTCAAGCATTGGTACATCATTTCATAGGTAATACAGCAATTTTACTATAGTATCCTCTATTTTCCTTCTCATATTCTTTATGCTTTTTCTTTAATTTTAAAAAACATATAAGTGTTTGAAGGTCTAACATAAACTAGATAAAAGTAATTACACCTTTCTTTGAACAATGAGTGGAGCTTTCAAAACTTGAGAAATCAGCAAATTCCAAATCAGCAGAAATAAAACTTGGAAACATTGCTTAACAGAAGTTACAACCTTAAACTATTGTGCAGAAACACTTTCAAAGTACAAGAAAGTATGATGTACATTATCCAAAGAAATAATTACTACTATGCATTGTGCTGACCACTAAAGGAGGAAAATGATTTATTCGCACAAGCTACTGAACCAAATTCAAGAGTTTACACAACAACTTTATGAGTAGTGTTTCTATTTCAAAATCTCTTCATGGGCACAAAAGGTCATTAAACACATAACAGTGATTATTTTGTTCCTACTTTGTAATAAATTTTATCTAATCAAATATTTGCTTCAACTCACAGTTCAAAATATATATCTATTATATTGCAAGCACATTTTTAACATTTACTTAATTATAGTCAATACTAAGTAGTGATTTCCAACTAAATTTTAATACCTAAGTAAGCATATCTTATAGTCTTATTAGAATTAATTTACCACTTCAGGGCTACAAGCAGGGAAATGTGTCTAAACGGAAATCATTCTAAACTAGAATTTTAAACACACCAGAATATGATGTCATCAACTTATCCTACTCTTGAAAATGTTTAAACTTGTATGAAAAATATAAAAATGCATCTCTAGTCATTTACATAAAATCAGTTGTAAAGATTTAACTCAATACTCATAAATTAATTTCACAAAACAATTTTATTAATTATCTGTATTATAAGAGCAAATCTAAAAGGAAGCATCTTATTCTTTTTGAAATGTAAGACTATTAGAGCAGTTCTTTAAAAATAAATGTTTCTCACTTCAGTGCTTGGTTCGAAATCGGGGTGTGTGAAGGGTCCAGACCGCTCGAGGAACTTCTTTACATGGTTCCAGCGACCTTCCCAGTCTCCAGTGTCCCCACACCCACCATCAACAGCCATTCTGCACAGAACACAGTAAATTCAGCTGCAAAGATCAGTATGAAAAAGCCATGCCCATAACTATTAGGTCTCCCCAAACGTAAAGGTAACCACACACCAGACCTGCTCAAATACAAAGGAAAACTGGGTTGTGGTTATAGTTTTCCAGTTTTGGCTTGTCTGCTATGGGAAAGCACTCTTCACCTACTTGATGAAATAAATCAGCCTCTGTGTTCCTAGCTTCCTCAGCACCCAAAGATCAAAGTCGGAACACTAATGATTGAGAAAAGGACTTCCCTCTGTTTTGTATTTACAGTCACTCTGAATTTCCATCATGTTCCTTCAGTAGAAATAACAAATGCATAGAGTGAGGGGGGTCTCTGAGAACTATGGTGCTTCAATCTATTATCTATGGCTCCTCCCAGGTTGGAAAGATGAGATTCACTGAGCATTTTGGATGAAAGCAACATTCATACATCTCATTCCTCAGAAGGGTCCCAGTATTTAAAAAAAAACAAAAACAAAAACAAAACCTCTCTTAATAGTGAGGGCCACTTGTCACAAAACACACACACACACACACACACACACACACACACACACGTTTAGATTACAATTATGCCACAGATAGGCATTACCATCAAGAAATCTTTGAGAACATGCCACTAATAAAGTGAGACTCCTCTAAAAAAAAAAAAAAAAAAAAAAAGAAACAAAAAACTCAAATGCACTTTATAATCACAGATTCATTCATGTTTGGTTGTGATAACTTTCCTGTAACCCCAAAGTTTCTACCTTCAAATATATTAGTGATATCATTTTTTTACAAAAGGGACCAACACACATTGCATAGCTCATGTTCTAATACATTGCTGGGTTTCACTCCACAACCAAGCACATTCTAACTTTGAGAAGATTTCTTAACTGTCGTCAGAAAACTCAACTGCAGATTGCAGCTACTTCTAATGATCATGAGGTTAAGAGATAATCACGAATTTAACTTAGGGACAGCTCTTGGCCTACAGCAAGCATTCAAACTTTGTCATTTCGTGAAAAAAAAAAAGTAGGGAATTAAAAGGTGGGAAAGGTATGCGAACCCTTGCATTTGAAATTCAAACAGAGGGAAAGGCATGGAAAAGACCAAAGTACTACTGAGAGCTGACACAGAAATTATGAATTCACCACACCCACTACAAGAGTATTTTTCCCCTTCCCACGGAGGGAGGGGAGAGGACAAAAAAACTAAAGTATTTGATACAGGTTGTGTGGCAAACTGAGAGAGCAAGTGAGTTGCCATCTCCTTTAAGGCCAATTACCTTGCAAAAAAAGACAAGTTTTAACACAATTCCTGATTCACAGAGTGTTCACAAAAAGTTCATAATGTGTACTATTGTCTCAGTGTTTACCAAGGACCCAAAACAGGCCTCGTGTCCATTTAGATTTAGATTGGATTCACTTGCCACAAGGTCACAGCTCTGACAATTTGGGTTGGAGGAAGAGGGGGGTACCGGGTGGCTTTTGCAGGAGCATAGCCAGGGAGCAGCCGGCCAGTGACTCGGGTTGGGGACGGGGTCAAGGGTTAGGACGCGCGGCCTGCTCCAGGTGCCCCCTTCCCAGCCCCCCGGGCCCGCTGCGGCTGGTCCCCTAGGCCTGGGATTAGGGGGAGGCGGGGGTCTCCGGAGAGGACCCCGGCCTCCCAGCAGCACTAACTTCTCAGCCAGCAGCTCCTCTATTCTCCTTCTTTTCTTCTCCCTAAAAGAAAGAGAGAATAAAAGAAGGGTCAGCATCAAGCTTCAAAGTGGGCGCCGCAAGGGTATGGCGGGAGAGGGGACGGGACAGAGGTTGGGGGACCCCCGGGTGGCAGCGGTGACCGCCCACCGCCGCGCTCTCTCACAACCCAGCCCAACTCGGCGCTCCGGCAAAACCCCGACACTTACGGCTCCTCGCCATCCGCCATATTGTTCCCCGCCTCTTCCCAGAGGCCCTCGCGGCGAGCGGGTCCGCCCGAGGGGCGGGACTGCAGGTGAATGGAAGGAGGGAGAGCGCCAGGGCGGAGGGGAGGGGCTTCAGGTAAGAGAGTGAGGGGGCGCGATGGGGCGGGGCTTCAAGGGGAGAGGCGGAGCTGGAGTTTGGGAACGAGGCTTTAAGGAGGGAAAAGCTGAGCCGTCACGGAGGGGCGGGGGACCAGCGCGTTGAGGCTGGGCTATTAGAAAGAGAGAGGGGCGGAGCCAGTACTAGAGGCGTGGCTTCAGGGGGCGAGAGGGAGGGGCGGGAGTGTCTAGGGAAAGCTAGCTGAACAGCGGGAAGCCATGCGTAAATTGGCTGCTTAGGCTCCCTTAGGCTTTGCAAGCATTTCACAGTGTAATTAAAATCTTTGGTTAATTGTGCCTGCTTAAATAATGTTATACCATCTATAATGTTGCTATACTGCACGAGCTTAGATATGTTACTTATTTATACACATATATGTTGACAAATAATTGCATAAAATATTCATATATTCTATTTAAAAACTGAAATAACCACCCCAATATGCCAGTGTTTTCTTCCGGGGAAAATGGTGAATTTCCATTTTCCGTATTTCAAGAAGATCAAAATCCTTGTCTTTATCTGCATGAAGTTTAAAACATTAAATAGACATAGGGTAAAGAGTCTATTTTCTTTGTGAAAATTTGTATTAATACTTTAGTGTGACACCATTCTGTCAGAAAACTATTCTGTTATACATAAATACAGATACATATATATTAGATTTATAAATGAATGATAGATAAGATAGATGATTTTAGATATGAAAATATAGAGATTTTATAACCCATTACCATTATGAACCCATAAATGAAGTTTTTTACTCTGTTCTTCAGTCCTACATTGTATGCAAATGAGTGGTTCTGGTAGACAAGAGAGGAAATAATTGTGTTCATATATTTCAAATATGTATTTACACAAACATTTTACTTTTACTAAGGTGAGATAAAAAATTTAATATGTAGTCTGATCTGAATTTAAACCCTCACCACCCAACTATTAACTATGAAACCTTGGGTATTTCCAGATCCTCATTTGTAAAGTGAGAATAACAACATTCATGGTTTTAAGACTGAAAATTAAGTGAATTCTTGAATGGTTCTCAAATATAGTCTTTGATTTGAACCACTTGAAGGTTGCAAATGCCAGGGTTGAGTTTTACCACAATAGGTAGTTTGTGGATGCACTGTTTGAAAACCAATGAAGTGCAGGAAATAAAGCTTCCAGGGTGCTCATTAAAGGGGGGTGGGGCTGCTACTCACTTGTGGCATTTAATCTATTCTTTGTCCTATTCTCTATTAAACCTTAAGGAAGGCTCGTCTGTTATGATCCCCCAGCTATGTTCATCAATAGCACACACTGAGCAAAAAATTCAGTCAGAGCCAAACAGTGAAAGGAGGAAACTGAGCCTTAGAAATAGGACAGAGATAGCAGAAGAGGAAGAGGAGGAAGAAGAGGAGGAGGAGGAGGAGGAGGAAGAGGAGGAAGAAGAAGAGAAGAAGGAAAAGGGGAAGGAGGAGGAGGAAAAGAAAAGAAATAAAAGTCTGGAGACCTAGCTCAGCAGTTAAGAGCACACACTGCAGCTCTTCCAGGGGACCCAGGTTTAGTTCCCAGCACCCATACACAGTGCCTCACAATAGCCTGCAACTTCCTGGTACCCAGCACACAAGTGGTGCAAATGTACATGCAGACAAAACACCCAAAAGAAGTTCACAAAGATTTCTGTCCTGCATGTCACCCTGACACACTGTCCTGCATCTGTGTGTCACCATGACTCACCATTTTGACAGCTGACACCAGACATCATTAGCTCTACCTAACTGATTAGAAATAGCCATCTCCATTTGTTAATAATGACAGTGATAGTGGCAAGTGACCAAAATCCTCAGTAGATTATTTTATTTACAGTGGAGCACATCATAGTCTATGGCCAGACAGAAGATTAATCAGGATGGGGTTTACTAAAAATCTTAAGTCCTGTTGGAAAAGCCTCAAGAGACTGCTTTTTAAAAAAGTTGATTCATGTGTATGTATGGTGTGTGTGTGTTCCCACAGAGGCCAGAAAGAAAGCGACAGCCCACTTGGAGCTGGAGTTACAGGTAGTTGTGAGCCACCTGATGTGGGTGCTGGGAATTGACATCTAGTCCTCTGGAAGAGCAGCAAGCACTCTGAACCACTGAGCCATTGGTTGTAAGAGACTAATGCAGTGAGTATCCTTACTCCTACTCCCCTCACCTACAATTACTGACATAGCTGCTAATAATAAATAGCTTTTAAACAAGAGACTGGGGTAAAGTTGATTCAATGTGTGCTCATTCGCATTTAAAATAGTTGGATGACAAGGTATAAAATATAGAGAAAACAAACAAAAACCCCATCAAACGAAAACCTACCATAGTCCAACCAGAGACAGGAGCATACCCAATATTTTCAGAGAGAGTTACGGGGACTCATCCTATGAAGAGAAAAAAAACCCAAAACAGCAACAAAGGCAGACCTGTTTGGATTCTCTTTTTTTTTTTATTTGTAGTAATGAGGAAGGAACCTAGGGCTCTGTGCATGTTAGAAAACTCTGCTCTGGAACTATATCCATACTGATTTTCTTTTTGTTTTGAAACAACGGAGTCTCACTAAGTTATCCAAACAAGCTTGAATTTGCAATCCTCCGGCCTCAATCTTCCAAGGAGCTGGGGATAAATAAAAATAAATAATAAACAAACAAACAAACAAAATATAGCCAAGTAATATGTGTTGACTATGAGTTGCCTGTGATGGAAATAAGCATGTTACTAATACATTTTTGACAGAACTGTAGTTCTGAGCAGTTGGAAGGAGGAAGTTCTTCGTTGTAGTTGCCAATGCTCACAGATTTCTCTAACAGGTGCTGAACTCTGTGTTCCCTCCCACCACTGGACCAAGATCATTTACTCAGTTTGCCCACACCGATGCCTTTTAAAATTCTTACGCTCCGGGAATTCCTCCACACCCTCTGATTTCCTGTAACTGAATAGAGGCCTGGCATGGCTTTATTTAGCACTCTCCTCACTGTCTCCCAGTATTTCCAGCCCTGTGTGTGTATGGGGGGGGGGGGGCGGAGGCCAGAAGGCAGAGCAAAGCAAGCACTTACCCTATCTGACTCCCACAGTGCCTCACAGAGGTTGGAAAGGACCTAGAATGCCTGCTGGCATGGTAATAAGCAGTCTCAACATTTTTTTCTCCCATTTCAGCTATTCAGAGGCAACCACAATGATCAATGGCAAACGAGGGGAGAAAAGTCAGCAGGTATTTATTATAAAAGGATAGAAAACAGGTTAAAACACTATAAACATCTGTAGCTGCCCGAGCTGCCTCACATTCGGGGGGACACTATGTGCCACTATGTGCTCACTCTGCTGCTCTGGTAGGCAGGTCAGGGCCTAGCAAGGGAGAGAGTGGGGGCAGAGACGCGAAGAATGGAGACAAGACAGAGAGTCTGATCAAGTCTCTTCAAGTCTCGTATATTGGAAGGAAATCCTGGGTATTTATACCCTTTACCACGTGCCTTGCCCTCGTGGACAAGCACAGCTGAAGGCACTACATCATATGCCTTGCAGCGTGGATATCACGTGCACCTAGCAGCGTGGAGACCAAGTGTGCCTAGCTGCTGGCGGCACTAAACAGCAAAACAAGATATGTGAGAAAAACAAGATGTTTGTCAGCGTGTGCTCAGCTGTTGTGGGCTGTTGAAAACAAGTCTCTTGTCAGGGTATATGGCTCGAGATGGCTGTAAAGATGATAGCAGATTTCGGCTAGGTGTTGGCTCCCAACAAACATCAACCAGGTAAATTCCGGACTCTGCTAGCTCTTTGTTTTGTTTTGTTTGTTTGTTGTTGCAATAATGGGGTCTGCACAAGGACCAACGTTGCTCCATGCTACGCAAGTGTTGATCACTGAACTGTGTATTTCTGGCACTCTTCTTGCTTTTTATGTTGAGTCACAATCTTACCACTTGCTCCAGCTGGCCTTGAATTCACTTTGTAGTCCCTACAAGCCTTGAACTTGAACTCCTGTCTTGGCTTCTGAAGTAGCTGAGCTTCCAGGTCTGCCTCATCATGCTAGTTTGTACTACTACTGATAACAGTAAAATCGGTGACCGCTACATATGCTAAGCACTTCCCAAACATCCCTTAGTTAGCCTCTCTGGCAGATTTTCTACTAACCTTAGATGACATATGAAGAAAGTAAGGCTGGGGGAAGTTAAAACATGTCTCCATTGGCCTGGAGAGATGGCTTAGTGGTTAAGAGCATGTGCTGTTCTTCCAGAGGAACCAAATTCAAGTCCCAGTTCCCACATGGCAGCTTAGAATCATCTCTAACTCCAGTTCCAAGAGCTCTCACACCCTTTTCTGACCTCAGCAGGCACAAAGAATGAGGGTGGGGCACATACAGGAAGCAGGCAAGACATTCTTTCACAATAAATAAGGGTTTTTGTTGTTGTTGTTGTTGTTTTTTAAAAAGGAACGACTTTTCTCCAAAGTCAATTGCTACATTGATTGCCAAGCTAGCCTAAACACCAGTGGCTGCAGGAATTTTCGTCAAGCCACCATAATTTCCTCAACTGCCTTTCTAATCAGCAAGGACAACTAAATTTTAGGGGAAGTTGGTGGTCTTAGTAGAGCACTTTGAGTTTGGTTAAAAATTAACAGTTGCAAATTTAGAAACACTGTTACCTTAGGCCCTGCCATCTTAGAAGCCCGCCTTCCATAGTAGGGATCTGGGACGCCACAAGAAAACGGCCCAGGGATTCAACTAGGAGCTCACAGAGACTGAAGCGGCTAGCACAAAGCCTGCATGGGTCTGTGCTAGGTTCTCTGTGTATACATTATGGTTGTATAGCTTGGTGTTCTTTTAGAAGTCCTAGCTGTGGGAGGTTTTTTTGTTTGTTTGTTTTTGCTTTTTTAGATACTAAGTTTTCTTAGGTAAATGTTACTGGTTTAATATTGGAATAAAACTGAGAAACTTTTTTGGCCT